GGGATATCTAGTGTAGAAGGGTAGTAAGCACCAGAAAATGGCAGGTTTCCCTGGGAAGATTCATACAACTCAGCAGTCAATGAATGGCCTGAGTCGGAAGCTGTGAATCTGGACTACAGCACTTAATAATTATAAGATATAGATGGACCTGTCCTGCAAATAGCATTTCATCTCAGTGCATATTCTCTTGCTTCATCATGATCAGTGGCAGTTCCACAGCTTAATTCTGGATTTCATGGAAAATAGCTCCTCGTGTTGACATTAAATGTACATCCTAATAATTTCACTGGATGCCCTCTGTATTTTGCTCCTCCTCGTTAACTTGTTTCCAGTGCAGTAAACCTGCTGGCCTCAGAGCAGTCTTGGATTTTCAACTTGCTTTAAAATTTTAACAAACAGCACTGTGAGAGGGCTGAGCAGTTAGACCCCTGTAGCTAAGCAGATCCTCACCAGCTTCATTTCTAACTTAAGTTACATTTGAATCTAAAATGATACAAATGGTTACACGGTCATCATCATTACAGACCAGCCTGACCATCTACAGCTTCTGAGTATTTTTGTCAGATATATTTTAAATCATTAGAGGGCAAATTCACTATTTAAATAGAGGCCTTGCCTTGATCGATTACAGGAAGTAAGGAATTAGCATTTCTTAGTCTGTGCATGTATAACAATAATCCAAATGGAGTGTAATTGAATGATTACGCTGGGGAAGGGATAGTCTTAGTTCCCCACTGGTGAATCCTCTTTCAAAGCTACAAGAGTCGCAGCATTGTCGGGGGAGTAGAAACAGAATGCAGAGTTCTACTAGCTGTGTAAATGCCACACAGTTTGAGCCCTGTGTATGCACGTGTACAGGGGCTATACGCACAGATATGGTAAAAGCAACAAATTAGCAGGGTTTTCTAACAGATTAATGCTCTGTTTTGTGGCAGAAGGGAAGGAGGTGGAAATACTCATATTGTGAGAGCAAATATAGAAAAAGGGATGTGTGTGTGTCTGTATTTATGGGTGGTGATGAGTTTTTAAAGCTTATTATTTAAAACCCGAGCTTGTTTTCCTCAAATTCCAACTCGAGTGCATCTCTTAGACCCTTCTGTGTTGGAGACTTGACTTACAATAGAAACATGCATTTACCTACAGACAGGATACATATGGCCAGTCACATGTGCATGCAGCACTGCGTAAAACACAGCGTACAGGGGATGTAAAACACTGAATAAACATGAATTTGCAGTTCCGTAAACCAGCCATTCTCTGTTTAAGGTGTGGAAATCTGTTATGAATTGTACAATCCACGCATCCAGGAGATACAGGTTCTGAAATTAGAGAAGAGGCTGGATGACAACCTCATGTACCTGCGAGACGCCCTCCCTGAGTACAGTACTTTTGATGTGAACATGAAACCTCAGACTAATTTAGACTCTGAAGAAGTTCCTGTAAACAAGGTAGGAGCTTAATACTCTACACTGCAAACACAGGAAAAAAACAAGGAATTGTTTCACATTTGACTGATACGTTGGGAGGCTGCTGAGCTCTTGGCTGCATTATTTACCTGGGTGGGGACGGCAGATTTTGTTTCGGGGGGTTGTGTATTGACTGGGGAGGTGTCAGAAAAGGTGAGATTGGTGGAATCGTTGAAATCTTCATCGAGGAAAAGATCCAGGAACCAGCAAACCCTGCTGAAGAGTTTTCATCTAGTTACTCAGTAACAGGGAAAGGGAGGAGAGATGGGGAGCACATGGCTGTTCCCTGCCCTTCGTAAGGAACGTGGCAGAACTGTAATGTGGAGCAGCTTCACTGTTTGCATTAATTTAAGGTTTATGTAATCAATCAAGATAGGGTTATTTAGGATTGGAACAATTAAAGGATAGGGTGACAGACGTGGACTTGACTGTAACAAGTACTTCTTTAAAACTAAGCTACTGCCCTGGTCTATTTTCTCTTACTTCCTTTCTACTAGAATGGCAATTGTTGAAGCTTTTATTAAGTTTAGAATCTGTCAAAATTCTGGTCCTTTAATACATTTTTGTTTTTGCCTTTTTTAACACCTTTCACCCTAGCTGCAAGTAAGAATGAAACCCAAACCCTGGTCAAAACGATGGGAAAGGCCAAAATACAACGTAAAAGGAATAAAGTTTGAGCTACCTGAAGAAAAAATGAAAGAGGCACAGAAGTGGAACAAGCCCTGGCTGGAGTTTGATATGTTACGGGAATATGATACTTCAAAAATAGAGGAAAAGATCTGGAAAGAAGTGAATGAAGAGCTTAAAAAATAGTATTTTTTCAGCCTAGGAATTACTAAGAAAACTTATACACTTGCTTTGAGTCGACTGTATGGATTTTCAGCTGTTTTGCATATACATAGGCAAAATGTACAATAAAGTTAACCTTTCCAGAAAATTGTGGTGTGCATAAACTTTTATTGCTGAAGAGTTTTTTTAAATTTCTGAAACACTGTTTTTGCTAACATTGTATCTTCTTCCTCCTTTCTCTAGCACTGAGAAGGTTCTTTTTTAAGTTACTCACTAACTGACATGTGAGGTTGGTTATGTTGTCACTTCTAATTAGGGCTAGAGCTGCTATGTCTGTTATTGCTTCGTTTGGTAAATTCTTTTTCCTGTCCCCATTCTCTTTGAGGCTTTGTAGAAGATGTTTTTTGTTTCTTTGTTTTCTGTGACAGTGGAATGAGGCTGGGTGTGCAAAGAACCACATGCTCTCAGTAAACCTTTATTTTACAAATCTTTGGAGGAAAAAATAAAGAAAAAAGCACTAGAGTAGATGGTAGAGGCTGTTTCTTCCACAAGTGAGATTGTTACTACAATGATGCAAATCCAAATCACCCTGAGAGGTTCTGGGCACTGCTTAAGCTATTAGCTCTTGCCCCAGCTCTTGTAGAAAGAGAAAGGAAAGAAGGAGAAAAAGAAGAAGCCTGTGTTCTTTCTATGCCAAAACTGCCCTAGACACCTTTACTTTTTAAACAATAGGTGAGGGCCAGTTGTGTGATGACTTAACTAGCCTTAGAGCCTCAGATATACAGCAGAGGAGGAAAGCAGAACTATACCAGCACTAACAGCCTAAAAATAAGCACATTTAGCTTTCACATACACAGAGGAATGAGTTGTGCTAGAGAAGCAATGCTAGAAGCAGCATCTCTCACTGCTCCTGGACTCAGTTATTCAGAATGGAGATAGCCTGGGGTGTTGGAGCAGAAGCAGGGAATGGGGCCCTGCTGGGAACACTGGCTGCTGAAGCTCCTGCTGCCCTGCAGCAAGGACAGCTGTTTCCCCTGCATTCTCCAGGAGCAAAGCAGTAACTACTTTTCCCTGCTTATAAACCATTTTAAGCAATGCTTCTCTTTGTAGGTATTACTTCAGAGCACTCCTGCAATACAGTATCTATTATATTTCCCTCAGTCATCACTGAGGACTCCGACAAAGCTGCTCTTAGTTACCTTCCTCTCCTCTCATTAAATAAGTCACACATGGGCAGCGCACCTGCTGCACACCTGAGGGCAGCATTTGCAGAGGAAAAGCAACAGAAATTCCCCTTTTTTTAACTAAAGGGATTTGAAGTTTGTAACTCTCCTGAAGGAAACCTCAGGTAACATGAGCCTTTATCACGACACAGTGACTAAAGAATAAAAGGTGGTAGAGAAACTAGAGGCCCCTGCTGTATGGTGTAAGCTTGGTGAGGAAAGGGCTGAGGTTTAAAAGGAAGGCAAAGACCTCAATTGAGAGAAAATTAGCAACCTCCCTCCTAGCAACTTCACCCAACACACAGAAATGTTTCCTTGAGGACACTGTCTCCCTCCCCATGGAACAGTCTCATAACACATTAAAGAAGTAACTGATAGAAGAATCAGACTAACCATCAAAATATTTTTACTTGTTTAAAAAAGAAGTTATTTTTAAAGTTTTAGACAAAAGGTGGCTTGTATCCAAGTTATTTACAATTAAAATATTTTACAAAAATACATCTAACAAAAATATGTATCAAAACCACAGGGAACAAGTCTGCAAGAGTTAAATTCTACTTCCAGAAGATTTGGAGAAAAACACAATCGAGCGATTAATTACTGTATAATATTTTTTAAAAATATACAGAGCTATAAAACATACTAAAATCTTATCTGATGAAACAGCATTTGGCAAATCTTTCTGGGAAGCAAAAGAATGACTCTCCTAGAATATTAGCTGCAGAACTGAAAATGTTCTTGTGCTTCTCCCACTCAAGAGCTTCCCAGTCTGTTGCAAGTCTGATAAAACACGGTGTGGTAATCCCAGGTCTGTGCACAGAAGTCCAGTCCGCACAAAGAGTCCTTAAGCACAGAAGTCCATCCAACAGACACTGGACATGATTGTCACCAGAGCTCATACACTAGGTCTTCCCCAGACCTTCTCCTGCGCGACTTCCTACTTTAGAATTCACCCGCTAAATTCCTTATTTGCTCACCAAGTGAAGCACGAATGCTAAATCACTGGTCCTTGGTTCCCCAAATTTAGGTATTGGGTCGAAACCCCTGTATCTTTATCCACTCTTTTTCCCCCACACCAAAGACACTACCTAATGTACCATGATGACACTACCTAAAGTACAAAAATCTCTGTGGACCACAAGTTAGAACACAATGATTGCTGAGATCAAAGTGGTATGCAGCAATATTTTAGAAATACCTTCTAAAGTTGTCAACTAATTTGCAGCACAATGATCAACTTCAGACACTCCATCTTCCCTGTAATCCTTCCAGGGAAGATAAAGCAATAAAGCACTTTCATAGATTTCAGAGGGCCTTCAACATCCTGAAGGACCCCTTAACTCATGAGCCAGATGAAGACAAACCTGGTAAAAACTGCTGAGGCAGTTAACAGAAGAGCAAATTCAACTGCTCACCACTAGATCTTTGAGTAGGCAGGGTCCATTAATTAATTGAATATTAACTATTTTAGCATGAACACCAGGCTTGTTTCAATAATCTAAATGTGTTTTTTTTTTTTTAATTATTTTCCAATCATGGATTTAAGGTGCTCAAGTTTGTACTCTTCAATAAAGTCTTCCACAATATGCAGAGCATTGACTTTCACCAGCAGAACAACAACATCTTTTGTTTCATCCCTGAAAAAGAAAAAAAAGTGCTTTATTAACACATTTTTGCATCCGTCTTTCAAGTACCTACTTTTTTTTTAATTAGGATATCTTTCTTAGTCAGTGAGGTTATCTTTCCTTGGTTACTTATTAGATGACCTTGGCTACACTACATAACACTATCCAAAACTTGGAGTCTGAAACAATCCAGTCAAACAAGAAAAGCATTTTTTTTTCTAATCTTTTTTACATTATGAATTAGAGTTTAAAATTGATCCATCCAGAATATTCATTATTCAAATAGCTATGCTATTTCTTAATGTCTATTCTTGATTTGAAAATGTCATAATGCAGAGAAATGTACCCTTCATAATTCTTACCAGATTTGGAAATATTTTCAATTCTTTATCACCAATATTCTGACACTAGCATCACAAGATCTCTACTTTGGTGTCAAAAAGTCCTGCATTTAATTCCTGCCTAAGTCTTAAAAGACAAAGAGACACACACACACACAGAAGGAAATTGTGTATACATTATGAAAGTTTGATCATTCTCTGGCAGTTTATCTTGTCATAAATATGTGTGTGTGTGTGTGTGTGTGTGTGTGTGTGTGATGAGAGCACCATTTAAAGTATAAAATTTATGAGATATAAGAAATTTAAGAAATATTTGACACAAAGCATATGAAAAAAAGCTAACAGCTGTTACCTGTGGTTATTCTTGTGCAGTGTGCGAGCACATTGCAACAAATGCTGGCTGAAGTTCGTTAGCTGGGGGAGAGTTGATCCACTTTTAAGATCTCGGAACCATCTTTCTGGGAGGCAAGACACCACCTTTCCAACCAAAGCATATTTGGAAGGATAATAAAAAAATAAGTAAATAAGCAACTAAACAAATAGAAACACACAACCAAGTCACATCACCTTACTTGAGGGACTTTTAGTGTGTTTAATAGTAGTTTAGTGTGTTTAATTTAGTGGTATTTTTTTTGTTTTGATTGCAAAATAAAACAAACACCATCATTACAAGAAGTCACTCTTAAAAACTTATCCCTACTGATTCATGTTTATTCCAGAATACTTTTATTCATCGAGGTCAAACAAATTTTTCAGAGCGTTGAATGACTCTATTGCACTTTTAGTCTATACCCTTCTCTGTGCAAAAGCCTTCAGAACAGCACCTTTTCCAAATGTACATAAAATCTTTTACCTTATTACATTTTTCTGTGTTATCTGGCCCCGGTGGTGTGTTTAAGAGGTTCAGAAGAAGGTAACGATTCAGCAACTTGCTCAGTCCTAAATCACAAACTGTGTCTTCTGGTACAATTCCATCCCAAAGGAAAATATTGGAGAGCAGCTGCATTAATAAAGAAAAATATACTATTTATACTTAAAACACAAGACTATACTTTAAGAAAATAGTATGAGGCCGATCCAACTCAGTTACAACCAATTAAAAAGATAAAATTTACTCCCCTCAGACTTACTGTAATCTGAAATCTATTTGTCAGGTAACCACTATTAAGCCTTATATAGTAAATACAGTTCATATTCACATGTATGTTCATATGCATTTGTAACTTCCTGAGACAAGGAAGAACATTTTGCCCTTTACTAGATCACTAAAGCTAAAGCCCAAATACACAAGACGACTATGCTTTATTCTTTCCACATAAGTGCTCGCAATCAAATCTGAAAGCAGGGGAAAAGAGCATTAAGACAACTCCCTGCAAGAAAAAGGGAGCAATAACAAGTAAGATTCAATTCTAAGAGAACCTTTGAGAGAGTGCAAGGAGGGGCAAAACAAAAACAAACAAACAAAAAAAAAGCTGGCAAATAAAAGGTACGGAGCCACAGGCCATAGCAACACAAACAAAAGATTTTTTTGTGTGCTTGACTTCAATAACTGTCATTTTCTTTTTCTGTTACCTATCCATTCCTTGTAATTCTTGTCATTTTTGAGCCTTGTGTAAGAAACTTGACTATTTTTGTCCTTAACTCTGTATAGATTAATTTCAGAGTGGCCAGTAAACTCAAGGTGTTTTACCCCACAGTTACAGCACGTCGTCTTTGTAGACACCCAAAACATACTGCAAGCCTCACATCTTTACACACTTCTCTAGAGTATTTTATAGTACATTTCCATTTAACTGCATGAGCTAATAGCACAGATTCAAGAAAAAAAAAGAGCATTTCCACATCAGTAAATCAGGAAAGTATACAGCATGGTAACAAGAAGTGCATTTGAGCCCCAAGGCTGCATGCTACATCTGTATACGGGAACTATAAGGGCAATAGCAAGGCAGGATCCAGCAGGTCCATTTTTCAGTAGAATAGTTCTTGGCTTAGACCACCCAGTACTCTCCCTAACAATTCCTAAGGGTGTTTTTTTTGTTTTGTTTTTAAAACATATATGCATATATGTATGTGTATATATATGTATGTATGTTCACCTGAAAACATATTTCCTGACTGAATAATATTTATAAGTAAAATGATTATCAAAGAAAAAATAAGTGCATTTTCTTTACCTTAACAGCTGACCAAAAGCGTCTTTCTTGGAATTTTGAACATGGAGACAATTTGTCTTCCACTGCACTGGTCACAAAAAGAAGAAAGGTAAAAATAAGTGTTCAGCACTGTGGGGTTTTTGTTTAAATAAAAAAAAGGCCAGCCAGACAACTGATCTCCTAAATGGTAATGAACATTTGTTTGGGATGTTTCAGTGATGAAACACAATCAGAATAAAATTCTAAAGGAACAGCTGTGAACTTGAACTCATTATAATACTATAATAAGCACCAATATAATTAATAATTGGAAACACTTGTGTCTACATTTCATGCATTCAGATCCAAACAGCATTGCTTATGCCACGTCAGCTTTCCCTTTTAGCCATATCTCCTCTCTCAGAGACTCCAACTATTTCCCCATTGCTGAAATAGCACCTGCGAATAAGTATCATCAATATAAATTCTATTTTAGTAACAAGAGGAAT